AAAATTCAGCTGTTTGTCTCAGTACTTTAACAGTTCCTAGAAAAACACACATAACTGAGGAAAGTAGGCATGCATCAATCTTTTTTACCCTATGCTAAAGATTCAGACCCCGAATATGAAAAACCACCAAGCTTTTGTGATAGACATATCTAATTTTCTCTACTCTATCTGAAACTAATGTTGGATTTTTGTCCAGTCTTTTAAAAATCCTCAAAGCTTGGTCAGGCTTGGCGAAAGAGTTGGAAAAACTGCATATCCGCCAAACTTGACCAAGCTTTGAGGATTTTTAAAAGATTAAACAAAATCCAACATTAGTTCAGATAGAGTAGAGAAAATTGGATATGTCTATCACAAAAGCTTGGTGGTTTTTCATATCCGGTGTCTAAATCTTTAGCATAGGGTAGAAAAGCTTGGTGCATACCTATTCACATGTGCGGAACTTTACCTACAGTTTTCTCAATTTCAGCGGGGGACTATACAAGATTTTGCTGATTTTGAATGGGATTTTGAAAAGTTCGATTTATTGACGTTTACTTTGATTTGAACGAATTTTGAATTATATAAAGAGAAAGAGCACACTTCAAAGTACTCAGAAACATCTTCACCTTTGTTTCGTTGTCTTGAAAGTTGTTTAAAATATTCTTAAGTCGATAAAACAAAACGACCTTGAAAGTTCGTCCGTTTATACGTGTTGTATTTTCTTTATTTAATTCTTTTCCTTAGCTTACTACAAAAAAATATTGATACACGTCTTGTACAGAATTTGACAACACATCTTTTGAAAAACAATCACATCTAAAAGTTGAGAAGAAAAAAAGTTTAGAAAAAGTTAGAGTCAAAATAATGAGAGAGTCATTCTTCATGCGACATCCGGTAAAGTAAGAATGCTGCGTGAACCTTTGATTGTGTTTCTGTTCTTGATTTTTTTCTTGCTAACTAATTTTAATTGTGTATCTATGTTTCAGGTAAAATCACATGAACAAGCAAATCGTATTGAAATCTATGAAAAAACCGTTGAAGCACTACAACCTGAAGTTGATAAATTAATGGCAATCATGCATTTTTCTGTACGATATGAACAATTGATAATATTTCTTATATTTTTCTATTTTTGATGTTTTTTTTATTTAGAGTGTTGCTATCGACAGTTTTTGTCGTCAAATTCGACGTTTATGTCATCAAGAGAAACGTAAAGAATTTGTTAGTGAGGCATATTTATTAACATTGGGTGAATTTATCAATATGTTTGCGGTGCTAGATGAATTGAAAAATATGAAATCATCCGTTAAAAACGATTATTCAGCCTATAGACGGTATCTAGACTTTGTTGATGTTATGATCGATAGTTGTCTATAATAGTTTTCATATATAGTGCGGCACAATTTCTAAAAGTAATTAGTGATTCAAATGCCTTACAAGAATCACAAAATTTATCCATGTTTTTGGCAACAAATGATAAAATTCGAACAATGCTGAAAGCATCGTTGGCACAAATCGAAGGTTTGTTAAACGTACATTTGTGTGAATATAATATTTATGCTTTTCGGTTTGTTTTAGGTTATGAAGATTTGTTAGCTGATGTGGTTAATACAAGTGTGCATATGTTTGAAAATAAATTTTATCTTTTACCACATGAAAAACATATGCTTGTCAAAGTATGAATGATTCATCTTACCAATGTATAAGATTTTTCTCTAATTTCTCTCATTTTTTCGTAGGTCATAGGGTTTAGTTTATTTTTAATTGATTCTACGGCATGTAATATAAATAAACTAGATGGAAAAAAGAAAATTAATGTCAGTAGAATAGATAAGATATTTAAAGTAAGATTTCTAGTAGTTCATATAATTCTTATGAATATTTCTCAATCAATTTTTTCTTTAGGCTTTGGAAGTTGTGCCATTGTATGGTGATATGCAAATTGCTCCGTTTAATTATATTAAAAAATCACCAAACTATGATCCATCGAAATGGCCAGTATGTAATGATAATTCGTCAACATCTTTACAAGGAAATCTTTTAATGCAATTACCAGAAATAAGAGAAGAACATCAAAACTTTATGTCAGATATGGCTCTTTATACGAACGAGGTAAGTTAGAGAGAAGTATATGACATATCCATTCAATTGTGTAAAAACGTCGTGTTTTCATTTGAAAAAATAGGGTGCTATACAAAAGGTGATGAAACGAAGTGATCAAGAAATGAAATATTTATACACGATGGCATTAAACGGCTTACAACTTTTATCGAAATGGACAAATTCTATATTAGAACTGGTACATGAGTAGAAAACTTTTTTCTAATGCACTTAAGATGTATTGGTTTCTTCCTCAAAGTTTTTAATTAAGATATTCATTAATTAGAACTAAAAATTGATTGACAATAGAAATGTTCTGTTATTTTAAGTTCAAATTATTTTGAAATTGAATAAAATTTCGTTTTTCATTTAAAAATTTTGTTCTTTTAGTATTCTTGGAAATTATTACATCCAGCTGATTATCGTAAAGGTGCTAAATATGAAGATGATGGTGAAGAGTATGAACGAGTAAGATTAATAAAGATTTAGTTAGAGAAGATAAGAATATTCTATTTATTCGCTATTTCAGGCAACACGTTACAATTATAATAGTCAAGAAAAATTTGCTATTGTTGAAATATTATCATTAATAAAAGGTTTACAGTTGTTAATGAGTCGTATGTCTGAAACATTTCATGAAGCAATCTGTTCAACAACCTATAATGAATTGCAAACATTTGTTCAAATACAAATACGTGATATATTGAAAAAAGTAACACAAAAAAAACGTGAATTAACACGAAGTATATTGACTGCTGTAAGAGATACATGCGTCGATTGGTGTACAGATAATGAAACGTCTTCATCATCGACTATGGATGATACTTTGGGTATGAAAAATGGTCATCATTCAAATAAAAAAGATAATCATGATGCAAATATGTCACGTTTAAACAAACGCTGTGCTGGACCATCTAGTACTCAGGTAAATAAATGTATCCAAATTTGATAATATTAATGTGTAAGGATGGTGAATGACGTTTTCTAAATATTCTATTTTAGCTTTATATGGTGAGAACAATGGTAGAATCACTATTAACAGATAAAAGTGGTTACGGTAAACGTACATTACGAAAAGATATTGGTGAGTAGTAAAAAAAATTTTAGTCTCTATACAAGTGACTATTGATATATTATTTTTATACTTCAAGATTATAATCATTTGGTAACAATTGAACAATTTCATAAATCATCATTTTTCTGGGATTATCTTTTAAATTTTGATGGTATGTGTGACCATGTCAATGTTTTTCTAGTTATCGAATGTCTCTTTATTTAGCTACATTAAAAAAATGTTGTGACTTATCTCAATTATGGTATAGAGAGTTCTATTTAGAATTAACAATGGGAAGAAAAATTCAAGTACATATTATTTTTATTTAGTTTTCTATTTTTTATATGATTTATTTTTTCTAGTTTCCAATTGATATGTCAATGCCTTGGATATTAACCGATCATATTTTAGAATCGAATAAACAACCAATGATAGAGTAAGATTTATCTTCTAGAATATTTTCCTTTATTTTTCTGGAGATGATTATATTTTTTAGATATGTATTTTATCCAATGGATTTGTACAATGATGCTGCCATGTATGCGTTAACTGTATTTCGTAAACAATATTTATATGATGAAATTGAAGCTGAAGTTAATCTATGTTTTGATCAACTAGTATTTAAATTAAGTGATAAAATTTTTACACATTTTAAATGTATTGCTGCATGGTAAGAATCGTCTAATTCTGAAATAGTCATCATTGTTTCAACAAATTTTATTGTTGAAATCATGAGAGAAGTAACGCTATCTGCTATTGTTTATTGTTGTCTTTGTTTGTAGTATGTTACTTGATAAACGATATCGTTCAGAATGTCATATGAATGGTATCAAAGTTATGTTCCCATCTGCTAATAGATTCATTACCTTACTTCAACAAAGACATATTCAGGTAGGAAAATACTATTGTTGTATATTTTCTTACATGGAATGAGAGTCCCTTCTCTTTTATCTATGTTGTGTAACTCTCGTTAGCGGTACTTGTGTTCTCGAAATTTTTTATCTTATAAAACATTATATTGTAGACTTATAGAATTTGAAGTTAGAAGTAAAATACATGATGATTAGAATTATTTTCTTGAAAAAAAACATTCTGTATGTTGATGAGTAAAAATATAACGTTTCTCTTTTTATTTTATTTAGTTATTAGGTCGTTCAATTGATCTGACATTTTTGTTGAATCAACGTTTAACAACATCGTTTAAAAAATCATTAGAAACAGCTATATTACGATTTGAATGTGGAAATATAACTGGAATTATGGTACGATTAGGAAAGATATAGTCTGATGTTATTCTATAGAGTTCTACGGTAATTTCAATTTTTTCTTCTTCTAGGAATTGAATAGTTTATTAGAAGTGAATCGTTTGACACACGAATTATTATCAAAATATTTATTATTAGATGATTTTGAATCATTGTTAAATGAAGTAAATCATAGTGTATCAGCACCCTATGGACGAATTGCTTTACATATATTTTGGGAATTGACTTATGATTTTTTGCCACATTATTGCTATAATGGATCAACAAATAGGTAATTATAAATCATTCTATTTTATAGTTTTCATATGATGACATCTACTTATCAATAGAGAACAATAACTATTATTTATTTTAAAAATAACTTTAATGTTTATCTCTCTTTAGATTTGTTAAAACTCAATTGCCACATGTCAATGAAGTACAACGTGAAAAAGTTGGCCGTGAAATTCCTGATTCACAATTATGGGGTACAAGAGAATTAAATCAAGCTTATGAAGTCGTTAACAATCTGTATCGAGGATTTGTTGGTAAGAATAATTCTTGACTGATATATTCATTTTTTTTTGTTTTTTTCTTTTTCTTTTTTGTTACCTGGTGATCCATAATCTGAACGAGGCAGTTTACATTGTTTTGGNTCCAGATATATTCATTTTTTTTTTTTTTGTATAATTATTATTCATTTTTATTTTCTCTTCGCCTAGGTGTACAACATTTTCGTATGTTAACACGTTTATTAGGCTATCAGGGTATTGCTGTCGTTATACAAGAAATGCTTAAAGTTGTCAAAAATCTCGTACGTAAATAAATATTATATTTTAGATTTTTTAATTCAATATTTTTTTTTTACAATAAATTTTTTAGTTAGATAAAACTATACGAGATTTTGTTGAAAAATTACGACAATGTCTACCAAAACAATGTAAACTGCCTCGTTCAGATTATGGATCACCAGGTAACAAAAAAGAAAAAGAAAAAAACAAAAAAAAAGAGATCAAAGGAACAACGTAGTCATTATTAATATGTTGTTGTTTTTTTTATTTTTATAGCAATATTACAATATTATTTACATCAATTACAAGATATTTTACAATTTCCAAGTATACAAGATGTATTTCATTGTTTTCGTGAATTAGGAAATGCTATACTCTTCTTCTTAATGATTGAACAAAGTCTGGTAAGTTTTAGAAAACACAAAAAAAAAAGATCTGAGTTATTTTTTATTCAAAAAAAAAAAGCT